GGTGTGTGGCGGGGAGAGCGGGGCCGGGGGTGCTGCCCTTGCTCAGGTGCTGTGTTCAGGGCTGCCTTTCCCGCACGTTCACTGTGCAAGTGCTTTGGTAGTAAAGCCTTCTTCCTACTGTGCTTACATTAGCATATACTGGAACTGAGGAGCTGCTGTGTTGTTTCTTTTAATTTTTTAATACGTGCCCTGAGGCTCCTCTGATAGGAAGGCCAAAAGCGTCTCTGGATTTCAGGCAGGGGGTTGTGTCTTTTTTTCTCTTTTTTTTCTCTTTTTTTCTCACAGTACAGAATAACTTTTGCTTCTGCTCACAAGTTTGTGATAGTAGAAAGCCTCTTAGTGAGAGCAGCACAGATAAAAAGCAACTGCAAAAGCTGCTGTAATAAAGATACTGTGTTGTGAATTATGCTCCAGGAGTATATGTGGAGGTATTGTGCCAAAGAAACCAAAGGTGCACGTGCTTACGGATGCTAGGTCTGTAGTGTGAACTTGAGACAGTTTTGTTTTAAGAATAGGCAAAACTATTACTGGGAGAGACTCTTCACTACTGCTTAATGCTTCTAAACCATTCTTTGATGCTTACAATCCAGTACCTTTTACAGTCATTATTCAAACATCAGCTTGATAAATGTTGATAAAACTACAGAAGTAGTGTGTTTTTGTAGGCTGGGAGCGTCACTGTATGTCAGTTCTAGCCCAGTACTTCAACATGGTGTTCTTTTATTGAAGACTTAAACACTTAAAATTAGTCTGAATTCCAGATTTACGAAGGAAAGGTGTTTGCTAACTGAAAGTCTGAAGCTCTGCATTACTTGTCCTAGGCTGCACAGGTAGTGGTTTTTGGGATGGGGCTGCATTTCTTTTCCTGTCTTTCACTGCCAGTTTTTATTTCTATGTGTAATCCAATTTAACTGCCCAGTTCTTTGACTGTACTGTTCTTATCTTTGGCCACAAGTGACAGTGAGCCTCTCCAGTCATTTTGCTGTTTAATAGTGATACTGGTGTCTTTGCTTATGTGATTTCTAATACTCTTAGACTTGCAGAGTTAGTAGCACTGCTGTTACACTACCTCGCTGGGAGAGCCCATGGTTTGATGGCCTGGCTATAGCTTTCTTTGTGTTTGAGGTACTGGAGACTTTCCATTTAAAGGAATAATTAAAACAATTTTCTTCAAGACTGTCAAGCATTGCCATAACGTCGCTGCCTGGCTTTCCTTAGCACGGTGGTTGCTCTTGCTGTAGCAGCGGGACGCTGCTGTGTTTGGTGGCTGTGGCAGTGGAAGGCGGTCAGGGTAGAGTTTATCCTGAAAACAGACCAAAATGCAGAGTGCTAGGTGTCCATCTGCTCTCAGGGAACATCTTCAAACAGGAAGATGCTCTGAATCAAGACTAGTGCGTGGCTGAGGTTTTAAAACTGCATCTAAAATTAGAAAGTCTTAAAATAAGACACATTTAACAACTGAAAACTAACTTGGAGACATCTACAAGGAAATGGTCCCAGCAGCTCTGTGGTGGCATGAAACTCGTGTTTAGTTTCAACTTGGAATCTCCCGTCCCACCAGAACAGAGATCGTGTGATGAGTGCATTCACTGCAGTTAGTAAAGCAGTATCTGCATTTGAGAACTTGGTGACAGAGTGAGCTTACGTACATGTAACTTCTGAGACTTCCAGAAAAGCTTACTCAAAGAGCCATTTCAGTTGATTTATCAAAACAAGCGATGCCACCTTTCTTTTCCTGGCTTCCCTAGCTGTAGTATAAAAATAAGGGCATTTGCTGTTTGTAAAGGCTAACAGCAGCACTATGAAAACTTGTATTTCAGGTCCTAAGACAACTGTATGAAGTTAGTGTTAGGCAATCCACTCTCTTTGCTTCGTGAGTAATTCTGTTCGTGACACCAGGCTGTTACGAAGGTCAAACATCAACTGAAGAGCTCCGAGACCAAACCAGTAACAACACAGTTCAGTGCTGTGGTTAGCCCAGGTAACGTGAAGCTGTGTGCATCTGTCGTTGCACCTTTCCTCACAGATCAGTGGAACCTGTTTTTTTTCTTCAAGTACCGCAAGAGAATAAAGAGGGAATACAAATTTGATAGCTTTGCAGACAGAGAAAGGAAATGTTAGCACAAAGCCCTGTGCTGCAGGAAACTGAGAAACTTCAGCTATTGCGTCTGTGGCTCGGGTGCTGCCTTCAGCAGCCGCTGCTTCTGATCCCCAGCGCCGTCCTGGGGATACGGCTCCAGGGTTTAGTGTACGGTGCTGGTGTGAAATGGGGCTTTGATTCAGGCAGGTGAAAACTTTATCTTGGCAATTGAGGCTTTTAACCATTGTCATTTCCTAGATACTAATTGAGTTAGTTTTTATTTCTAGAAGATAAACAAGTAAATGATTACATTTTCCCTGACAGAACACTTCTTTGTATTTTCTCTCTTAGCTTTTAGCCTTTTACAGGTTGGTTAACCTTTAAAAAAGCAACTAAACAAAAACCTCTTAAGTTCTTGCTCTGAATTAACTGAATAGTTCACTGTAAGACCAGCAGAAAAATAGCTGAAGATGTGGATGTGATGATTCGGAACCTTTAACACAAGAGATCAGCGATCTGAGATGGTTTTTTGTCCCGAATGCTAACTGCTTTAAGCACTTTTACCTCTAAATGTCAATAATGCTTGTACCTCTGCAGTTGCACTGTTTTGCTTCTATATTGTGTATCTAAAACTGGGGAGGTGTTCTGTAACGAAAGCCTTAATGTTTGAATGTTACGCATACTTGTTTATCCTCTTCCCCTGCATGGCACTGCCTTAAATGTCAGGAGTTATTAATGTACCTAATTATAGATGTTCTGAAACTTTGACTCCTTGTAAAGGTATTCGAATAAATCTAACAATATTTGAGATTTCTAAAATATTAAGCTTCAGTTTCAGAAGCTTTCCTTAATTCCATGCTTGTTTTTGCATAACAGCTACATGTATGGTGTGTTTTGTTGCATAATTAAGTCTTGAAAGGCAAAAGTCAAGGTGTTGCTGTTGGTCAGTCTTCCTGGGAATAGATCGCTCTAGCGAATGAGGTCTTCATTCATTTTGGGTCAATATGCTGCAACTGCAGAACTCTAATCTTCTCTTTGTTGTTGCTGCCAGAAATTCCAGATGAAAATGGCAAAACCCAGCGAGCTGACAGTCTTATTATGAAGAAGATAAAGAAAAAAAAGAAAAAGAAACACCGGGAAGATATGAGGGGGAAACGCCTGAAGATGTACAACAAAGAGGTGCAGACGGTGTGCGCTGGACTCACTCGCATTGACAAAGCGGCTCTGTCTCAAGGACAGTGCGAGACCTTGGAAATGAGCAAGGAATCCTTCAGGTATCTGAAGGATGAGCAGCTCTGCAGACTGAACCTGGGCATGCAGGAGTATCGGATACCCCAGGGAGTACAAACGCCGTTTGTGACACACCAGGAGCACTCCGTTCGCAGCAGCTTCCTGAAAACTGGCACTAAATTTAGTAACTTCATTCATGAGGAGCATCAGTCCAACGGCGGTGCTCTGGTCCTTCATGCGTACATGGATGAACTCTCATTTTTGTCTCCAGTGGAGATGGAGAGATTTGCAGAGGAGTTTCTCGCGCTGTCGTTCAGTGAAAATGATAAAAACGCCGCTTACTATGCTTTAGCCATAGTACATGGAGCAGCTGCTTACTTACCAGACTTCCTGGATTACTTTGCTTTTAACTTTCCTAACACTCCAGTGAAAATGGAAATTTTGGGCAAGAAGGACATTGAAACGACAACAATTTCAAATTTTCACTCTCAGGTAAGAACTGTTTAAAGCCATAAGTTGCACAGCACCTAGATTTGATTAGTCCTGTTAATCCAGAGCAGGGATGGCCTAAAATGTGAGGTGCACATTACTTTCAAAGCAGGTGAAAAAAGATGATGGGACTACTGCTGTGGTGCTGTTTATTCCTGTTTCTGCTTGAAGCTCTTTGTGCCCACTGGTAGTGAAATTGCATTTCAGACTCTGATAGTGGTGACCTGTAGAATGATCTGCACTGATCTTCTAAACTGCTTTTATTTGTAATTGAAGATACTCAGTTAAAGTCACCTCTGCTCTAGGTTGAGACTTCTGTGTGAGCTTTTTTGCTGTACTGAACCATGCTGTGGTGGGGGATTTCAGGCATTAGGTGGTCTTGAGTCCTGGAGACTTGGCGACAAGAAATCAAACTTTGCTCTGTAAACGGCGAGTTAAATGGAAGTTAATGTGACCTTTGGCTTGTGCAGCGTTCAGCTGGTTTTGTGTACCTTTTCAGACAAATCGAATTTTAGTAGGAAGTGTCTCCAATTCAAAATAAGGACTTTAATCTGAAAGACTTCATAAAAATCTAGTGATAATTAACTTCCTTGCAAGATGAATTCCTTTGTTCTCAGGCAGTGAGGACAACGTAAACTGAGAGTTTATAGCAGGGCACGCCAATGTGTATTTGTAGTATAACTGTTTGCTTTCTGTGTATTATAGTACTTAAGCTTCAGTCTTCTCTGGATTTTTTTGCTTGTATTGGCTCTGGCTCATTTGTTCTAATGCTTTAGTGCTAAAGTGAAGCTTTACCTTGGAGCTGTTCACTAGGACCAAGAGCTTCCAGGACTCAAATCACTGAACAGTAATTTGGAAGCTTTCTTTGTGTAAGAGCATACTTCAATTTGAAAGTTATTAGCGGTGCAGCTAGAATGGACTCTTGTTTTCCTGTTGGTTGTGTCAGTACCACGGCTTCTAGGCCTGCGCAGTGAATTGGAACATATCTAGACCTGGAAAAAAATCTTGTGCTTTTTTCCAAGAAGGAACTGCTCAGCTGCCTGGTCAGTTCTGTGTGATCCAGGGCAGTTAAACTGCTGCAAACGAGGGGAGTTCTGTGGACAGGTCAGAAACGGGTTGGGGGAATTGGGTTTGGCATTAAACTGCCCTTGCTTCAGAGAGAGAGGTGGGAGAAGCAGCCACCATGTGATGATAGGAGATTTCCTACTGCAACATACTGTCAGAAAAGGTTACTCTGTTCCTGCTGTTGATTCATGAGCAGTATCAAGGCTTGGTTGTCTACCCTCTCAACTTCTCTTACTCGTGGTACTCTTATTCTGGAAGGGCGACTTCTTTTTTTAGCAGAAGCTATCAAAGTATAAAATGGAGAAATTGTGCATCTGTACTGGAAACTTAATTTGGTGTATCGCTTAAGCCACATAAATAATGCCTGATGGTCTGACTGAAATATCTGACAGGTTTTAGTCAAACATGTAACTGGCACATCACACTGTCCTCCTTTCCTTCTGTTGTAAATAGTAAGCCTTCTTGTGTTCTTGCTTTCTTCCTTATAGCAAAGTGTTTGCGTGGTTGGTTTTATAGCTGACTTGGTGTACTAAAACATTGTCAGTCAACCGATTCATGCCTTGCTTGAAACTGGAGAGAGACTTCTGAAACTTAATGTTGTTTGTCTCAAGCTTATGCCTTGTCTGTATGTCCTTTTGCCCTGCAGAGACATTCTGCTTGCTTAACCCTTCGTCAGCAGGGTCTGAGTTATCTCAGCAGCAGACAGATCCCAGATCTGTGCCTTCTGCAGGAAGCACTGACGCTGTCTGCTGCTGTTCTCACGCAAGTGTGTGAAACACTGGTAGCACGTCATTCAGCTGCTATAAAATGTCTCTGCGAACCCAAAAAGCTAATTTTAAATGTCTATAACTTCACCTTTAGTGTGATGCTGTATGGAGTGGAGGGTACCTGCGGTACGTGGCTGTTTGGCATTTTGAAAGGGCACAGGACACCCGCGTGGTCTGACTAACCCCACGGTCCTTTTACAACAGTAAAGATAGTGCATGGTCTGATCTGTAGATGGTGGCAGTGCTCAGATGATCCACTCGCGCTTTTAAAGAAGCATAAAGAACAAATGATAGCAATGAAGATGCTGTGGTTATACACTTTTCTGACAGCTGTGCAAACTGGAATGACCCAGGCTAAGTTCCTGAGCGAGAATTGAACTTGAAACAAAAATAAGAACCTTTGAGAAGTACTAGTGGATAAAACAAAGTGACTTATAGGTATTTCATAGAAAAGGGGTGCATGAAGGTGGCTGTGAAAGTGAGGAGATGGAGTTAACAGAGCTGTTAAGAGTGCATCTGGAGCACTTGGCAAATGAAAGGTCAAAGTAGTTTGCTAGAAGGTGCAGCAAGCACCAAGTTACTTGACCTTTGACAGCTGGGTTGTTTAGCATCCTGTGAGCATGATGCCTGTTCTTTTAGATGGCTGTGAACATCCTTGTTATTACTCACAGGGTCCTAGCATACCCTGTATTCTTGAGACCGCTGACCTAACCTAGTATTAGTATATACTAATATATATTAATATATACTAATACCTACTGGTGTTAGTATTTGTGCTGCTCTGGAAGAGTTAAGGATGTGATAGAAACTATGTAATTCACTTTAACTTGTGACAAAGGCCTGTGAAATACTAGTGATTCTCAACAGGTGGTTTCAATAGAACACATCTCATCTGAAAGCAGTCTGTCTCCACTTACTTTAATAGTACCAGGCAGTTAAACTTAACTGGCTTAAGGACCAGTGTTTCAGTCCTTAGTTCTCTCATAGGTGCACAGAACTAGACTAACGCTGCCATTTTCCAGTACTGCTCTGAATTGCATTCTGGCCAGCTGGTGAAATGGTTCCACTTCACTGACATTAGATGTGAACCCTTACCAGTAATGTCCTAATAGGATTTGGAGACTTTGCTTTCTCTTGGAGCAACAGCCTCTGAAGACAGTGCCTGGTTGACACAACCTGCATGGCCAAACCCAGAGGTTGGTGTGTGCTCACTCAGCTGCTGCTGAGTTAATTGAGAGCTTAAGTTTGCTGGTAAAAGACTGAGTCACAAGGAAACTTTGTGTGGAGGATTTCTCGAGTCAGTCTGGAAGTGCTGAATTGTTCCTGAATGAGTCAATTCTGACTTGCTATGACTCAAACTCCAGCAGCATTTCCCATCGGTAGCACACAGGAGTTCTTCCCTCTGGGGATTCCCTGTGAGCATCTGTCCTGAACAGTCTGTGCATGTTCCCAAGGGCATCTCTAATGAAGCAGATGCAGATGAGCCCAAGATTCATCTCAGTGGTGGCCTAGTGTATTACATGAATCACCGTTCATCTTGGTGGTGGTATTACCGTCTTCCTTTCTGGCTGCTCAGGTCAATCGAACGTACTGCTGTGGAACCTACAGAGCAGGACCCATGCGACAGATCAGCCTTGTTGGAGCAGTGGATGAAGAAGTTGGGGACTACTTCCCAGAATTTCTAGATATGTTGGAAGAATCTCCATTTCTCAGAGTAAGCAGTAACTTACGGTGTTTTTTCAGAGCGCTATAGATATTTAAACAATTACTAAGCTTCATGCATTTCCAAGTAATTGGAAACCATAAAGTATTTTCTCTACTGAAGTGCTTATTTGGGCTACTGAGGTATGTTCTTTCCTGCATCCAGACTAAAGGTACTGCATTAGGTAGCTACAGTTGTGTAAATAACTAAAAAATAAAATGTAGCTTATATATGTAGACTACATAATACTCTACTTCCCTAAAAAACAAGTTTGATAAAGTTAGCTTGGAATATATTTTACCTCTTGAACTTACTGTAGTTTATATGCAATGATTTTGACAACAGATTTGAACCAGTTTTACCAAAGGCATCATTTAATTTTTCTATCTCACCCAGTGTTTTGTGTTATGTGTGTTTTGTGGGTTGTTTTGGTTTTGTTTCTTTTAGATGACTTTGCCCTGGGGTACTCTTTCCAGTCTCAGACTTCAGTGCAGGTCACAAAGTGATGATGGTCCCATCATGTGGGTGAGACCAGGAGAGCAGATGATCCCAACAGCTGATATGCCAAAATCGCCGTTCAAACGGCGCCGGTAATGTTTTATTTTCCTTTCTGTGTTAAGGGTAAAACGTTGCAGTTGTGTCTGTGTCAGATTTGAGAACAAAACCTCGGTACTTTAGGTGTAACCAGTTCTTCAGAGGGCTCATTCACAGATTCAGGTTTTTAATGTTCAGTTCTGTTTCAAATTGACTTGGTGGATAAGACGAGTATGTTACTTGAGGTGTTTATTTCACCACTTTTCATAGTATGTCCTAGATCAGTGCTTGCTTAAAGTTGAAAACTCTTTTTAGTATCCTTCAGGTGACTTGTTTTGTTCACCTTCCTTCTGTGAAAAGAACTGATTTGGTGGTGGGGGCAGGTAAAGTGCTCTGAAACAGTGGAAATCCTTACGCTGTTCATGTAGTGTTTCAATGTTAGCACTAAAGCACTTGTCATACTGTCTGCCTTCTCAGAAAATACTGGTGTACGTGTGTACTTGCTGTCTTTCTTGGTGTGCTGTAGGACACATTTTAGTAGCAAGAAGTAGAAGCATATTTTAAGTGTAATTTCAAGCAGAATTTTTGCACGTACTCTGAAATAACTAAACCTCAGTATCAACTAAAACAGCTCTAATTTATTACCATTAAATTCCTGGAAGAATGCTTTCAGCACAAGTGAACAAAAAATGTTGTGGTGTTTGGATTTGTTTTATAAAGTTATAAAAGTCATACCTGAAAGTCATAAAGTCATAACCTGAATTGTTCTTTGCTGTATTTGGCTTTTATTGTCGAATAGACACCTAGCAGAAATCAGAGGGCTTTAATCAGAGCTGTAGACTTTGATTTGGAAGCCTGCAACACACACTAAGATTATTTAATACAAGTGTTTAGTTTTCAGTATTCTGAAACAGTTTTGAGTGTCATTTTATCACGTTGTAGATCCATGAACGAAATAAAGAATCTCCAGTACCTACCTCGGACCAGCGAGCCCCGTGAGGTCCTGTTTGAAGACAGGACGAGAGCTCACGCTGATCACGTGGGCCAGGGCTTTGACTGGCAGAGTACAGCTGCCGTGGGCGTGCTGAAGGCCGTGCAGTTTGGGGAATGGTGAGTGCCACTGGGCTGCAGCTGTTCCAGTAGGAGGGGGAATGCTTAACGTTTGCTCTCAAAAAAAGAAAATTCCTTGGAAAGCAAACGTAATGAAAGAAATGGTGTAAACCTTGTAATGAGGTAAATGCTGTCTAGAGCATTTATAGCACAAGCTGCGTATCTGGTGGTTTTTCTTCTCTTTTTGAGGCAGTAGAACATTTGTAAGGGCAGCCTGCAGAGAATGTTAGTGACATGCAAAATAAGCCTTATGATGCCATGCCTGGACCATCATCTGTGACTGTTCTTTTCCTGAATGGGTATATTAATGCCAACTTCTCTATAACTCAAATTCTTTACATATTATCATCTTTTTCTAGGAGTGACCAGCCTCGTATAACCAAAGATGTGGTTTGTTTTCATGCTGAAGATTTCACTGATGTTGTGCAGAGACTTCAGCTGGACCTGCATGAACCTCCAGTGTCACAGGTATTGAGTCTTCCCTAGTGACCGCTTGTTCTTAGCTCTTTGAATGTAGCTTCTGGCAGCTTTCAGGATCCTGTGCAGCCAGCCCTTTTGTACCCTCAGTGCACAGCTCTGGGGCAAATTCCCTTGTGGTGTGCAGGACAGAATAGTTCAGTTGGAGGGGACCACAGTGCTCATCTAGTCCAACTGCTTTTCCTTTCCACCAAGCTGGGATTTATACTACGAGCCATGATATGTGCTATAGAAACAATTATAAGTTGATTAAGTAGCCATGTATGCCTGCTTCTGCTTTTTCTAATATGCTGATGTTGTCTTAGGATGCGAAGGCATCTGAACTTGGTCCTGTCAGCCAAAACCATGCAGCCCCATGTTGAACCTGCTGTTTTAACCACAACTGTAGAATGCTCTTAACTGTTTGCCCTCTTTAAGATCTGCACATTAGATGATAAATTATATTTAGAGTCCAGTTTTCATTTTAAATCTGTTAAACATTCTGATTTAGACACAAAGTATGTTGAAAGTAAGCGGAGACTGAATTGTTTACTCTAAACAGACGACACCACTAACTTTGCCATCTTTCCTTCTCTCAGTGTGTTCAATGGGTGGATGAAGCCAAACTAAACCAAATGAGACGGGAAGGCATTCGCTATGCTAGAATTCAGTTGTGTGACAATGACATCTACTTCATCCCTAGAAATGTCATTCATCAGTTCAAAACAGTGTCAGCAGTCTGCAGCTTAGCCTGGCACATAAGACTTAAACAATACCACCCTGTGGGGGAGACTTCTCAAAATGCAGAAAGCAATTCAAGCTTGAACAGTAGCGTTCCTGGAAAGACAGAGGCAGAAGGCGAACCCCAATGTGCAAGTGTAAAAATAGAGTCTGAAGAACCAGGTATAGAAATGCAGCTTACGACAGGGGTGCTCTCCTCCTCTGTTTCTTCAATATCAGGACTTGTGCAACCAGATCAGGTGGCCCAGCCCCTTCCAGGTTTTAAAGTAGAGTCTGATCAGCAACACAAACCACAGGATCATGCAGGCTCTGCTGTGTGATATGTATATAGTCAAACATTTTTTAACAACTTTTTAAAATTTTGATGTGAAGTTATAGTTTTATAACTGGCTTATGTTTTATTGGAGAAATCTTGCCTATAATTCTATAAAGAGAGGTGACATTCCAAAATGTCAAGCATATCTTTTTTACACAGATTATGCAAAATTCAAGTTGTATTTTAACCCCTTAGTACAACCTGTAACAGTGGTCTACCACTTCTTTCTGTTTAAGTAAAGAGGTATTGAATATCTCCTCAAAGTCAGAATGGAATTCCTCCAGGAACATGAAATGATTGAACTGTATTGGTCAGTGTTATTTCCCTACTTTTACTTTTATCTCTGATCTTCACCAGAAAGTGATGCTTTTGTAGGCTTGTAAAGTGACTTTTCCCATCTCATTTTAATTGCTTAAAAAAAAAAGCACAGCACTTTTGATGATTTGTGAAATTTTTGGTATGTCTGTTCTTGACATGTTGGTTTATACGAGTTGGGTTTATATACAAGCTATTAGAATTTGATCTCTATTTCTTACAGCTCCTGCAAAAGTGATCTGTAAAATTACCTGAAGAAAGTGTCTGATCCTGTTGAAATGCAATGACTTACTGACCTAACACTTCACGTAGCACTGCTTATGTTGTTTGGTGTGAGGGTTTTGCTTCCAAAATACATCTTCCCTGAACACGATTAATATTAGTGTCAAAATTAGAGAACCTATTGGTAGTCTTGTGGAGGAAACTGCTATCTTTGAGCACTTTAAGGCTTTAAAATACTAACCAACTTGGCAGCTTGTTTTGACCAGGTCGTAATGTGTCCAATGGAACCACACTTCCCTTGTACTGATGCACTTAATATATAGCATTGAGTTGGTAACCGACTTACACAGCGAGGCTGTCCGTACTCTAGGAAGTTCTGTATTGCTGTTTCACAATAAAGTATTATGGCATTGGACTGCTGTTTCCATGTGTAGCTTCTGGGTGCCCAGGTACTGTGGAAAAATCAGTGGCACATGCTAAATACGTAGAGTGTCAGCTATCAACAGCTTTTAAACGATCTTTCAATATTTCTGGATGTTGACGTGTAATCTGTATTTGCCTTTCACTCACCCCATTTATTACTGCCCTTTCCAGTCATCAAAAGGACAAGCCCTGTCCCTTTCTGCCTCTCCCTCCCCACATTTAGAGTACAAGTTGGGTTTTGGTGCAACTTAAGCTGTCTCCAGATAACTTTATTTGTTCTAATCCTCACTGGGGTAGGAAAGATTTGAAACACTATGTTAGACTAGACAAAAGCAAAGATGCTGTGTTAGTTCTGGATGCATCTTAATATCAATTATTACTCTTCTCTTTATAAGGGTCTCTAAAATATGTTACTCTATTATAAATCTTACTTTGTGCAATATTGTTTGTGTAGGCTTTTATATACATATTAGCACCTCAGTGTAGAGGTCACTATTTTAAACTGATAGAAAAATAATCATCAGAAGATACTGCAGTGATTAGTTAGAACCTGTATTACTCCTTATGTGTATGTATGTATTGTCTTCGGTACAAAAATGAGGACTAGGAAATATTTCGATTTAAAACTAATTTGCAGATTGAAGTGGTAGTGACTTGTTTAGTAATCTGTGTAAATAAGGTGTTAGAATGGAAAGCTTTTATGATGAAAAGTAATGTGATTCATGCAGGGGTGTAATTTAATCTTAGCAGAAATTCTAGATGACCCAGACTGGTTCATAAATGAGCTGTCTGTTCTCTGGTGGGTTTTTTCCACTTTTTATGTTGAGAGGAATTTCATAGCTTTAAGGGTTGTGCAAAGTAAAATTCCTCACAGGCAATAGTGGTTTCGGTTCATCCTTCGCATTCAAAGACCGTATGACCCGAGGGTGTTCTTTCCTTTCTACGAAGTCTGCTTAGTCTTCCAAGTGCCCATTTCACTTCACATGTGCTATTCTTTGGTCGTGTCAGTAGAGGTGCATCGATCCGGTGGCCGTTCTGTGACAGCCAGCACTGCGTACAATCACTCAGGAATTGACAAACCTGCAGATACTACAGTTCTGCAAACGTGACTTTAAAGGCAGAATAAACAGATTAAGAGCCCCTGCACACCAGCCTGTCTGTTCTGTAACGCAAGCTGACACTGAATGAAGAGGGAATCAACTTGAAGTCCTCTGTAAGTTCTGATAGCCTGTTTTCAAATGGATGAAGGACAAAGACCAGAGTGGCTCGTGTAGCTTTCAAAGCTGTAGCTTTAGCGAAATCTGTGACTACCACCTAAAAATACCAGGAAAATGCTCTGACTTCTCTTTGGATGGGGGGACTTGACCAATGGTATCTGCTCTCTTAACGTTCAGTTCCATTGCTACCTTAGTGTCCAATGTCAGATTAAAATACAGAACCGTATCTTCAGATGACTTGAATGTTGCTGCTGCTGTTCTAGCATGCTTGGGAGATAAAGAAAGAAGGAAAGGAGCAAAGATCTTTCACCTAAATGTGTTATCAGCTTTGGTACGCTTTAACCAAAATGGCAAACTACTGTCAAACTCCACCTCAGTGCTGGACCTAAGCTGTGAGAGGGATTGCTGCTGGAGCTGATCACGATACTCTAGCTGTTGTTTCCAGATCGCTTCAATTGCACTGAAAACAGGGCAGAGTAAGAACGATGCCTTCATGTGCAAGATGCAAATGTGTTCCAGACCAAAACACATAGAACACTGATTTTTGTAAGTTACAGCTGTTTAGAAATAAAGCAATGAGTTCAAGACAATGTTGGCTGAGCAAACCGAGTCTCTGGGTAGGTCCAAGTAATATTTCTGAGTATCTGTCATGTTAAATAGCTGACTGTTTGAATTTCTCTAAGACTTCATAAAACAGCCTACAGAGTGAGATAATCAACCTTGGGCAAGTCTCACTGGTGGATCTGGTAGTTCTCAGTAGTCCCAGACAGATAAATCTGAGTGTGCTGGTCAGTCACTGTAAATCCTCAGCTCTCGGTCTATGAGGATCTGCTCTGGGATAGTTGTCAGTTGGTAACTCAAACACTCCTGCTTTATACTGGAGACAACTGGTAACTGAGTGCTCTGCCTGTGAGGAGTGATGAGCTTTGGTACGGGGCTCGGGCTTAGGCTGCTGTTGTAAATAAATGAAGTACTGTGGATTGAAAATGGCCCTTGGTCAGTGAGTGGTGTGCTCCAAGTGGACTAGCAAACACAATGTAAAGATGAAATGCCAGTTAGCCTTGGTCTGCTCGCTCCTCTAGAAGTGCTGCAAGTCATTTGTGCAGATACTTGGCACGTTCTCTTCCAGGAAGGTGGACACTCGGAGTGTTCTCAGGGGACTCACCCATGTCTTTACCGGTGTAGATCTTGCCATACAGAAAAGGGCTCTGCTGGGCTCTGTTTGCCTGTGTCTCACAGTTTAGTTCCCTGGGCAAGGCCGATGGTCAGAGCTTTTCCCACTGATGTGAGCTTAAGTCCTTAATCTGCCGTTTTCAGGTCTGAATCAACTGAGTAATAAACTCTGGAGCCGTGGTTTTGGAGAAGGGCCGAGTGTGGCAGCTCTGTACTTGGGGGGTGCGAGGGGGGAGGCCTGTTTGTGCTCCCAGGGGAGCCCTCTCCCCAAATCTCATCCCCATGGGTGGTGGCTGTGGGGCACTGCCCGCGTTATAGGAACACACAACACTTTGACTTCTTTGTACAAGATGTAAAGAGACTGATGTATCGCTGTTTGTGATTTGATTTTGATTGGCA